AAACACCTCCACAAGGTTACAACAGTGGCGACAAAATGGCTAACTAATCTGGACATTAGAATCTAAGACTATACAAATAGTATTCCGACTCACCATCCAATTATTCATATATATTTTATATTATTCTATCTTATTTCTTTTATATATTTAACTAATTACTACTATTTTATATTTCTACATCTTATCAACATTTTATATTTATATTTATATTTCTTACTGTCATATTTTTTGTTGCTATAGAATTAACTAATTTTAATACTGTTAGTGTTGGAATGTTGGATTAAACCATACGAGAAATATAAATGTTTAATAATTTTCTATAAGTATAACATAAAGATCTAAAATATATAATATTAACTATTATTGAACTTTGTTTTGGCCGAAAAGGGAAGGGTACCAATTTGGTCGAAAACGGTGAGGCTTGAGAATTTAATCTAGTTAATACTTGATAGTGCATGTTAAAAGTAGGAAATTCTTAATACTATTTTCTTAACAATTTGAATAAACTAACTAAATAGCAAAAATACGAGAATATTTACGCATTACCAGTTTTTAACAAAATCGATCTTGTTTTTTTGTTGTAATTCAGAAAGGATATACCCCATAGATGAATAGATGATTAATACACTTGATTTTATTTGAATAATTTAATACTTATATACGCATATAATAAAGTTTAGATCTAGGGGTCTCAAGTATGTTAACATAATATTATTTGATTTTTAAATGGTGTTAAAATGAAATGGATTATTGAAATAAAACTTATTAAGTTGTATTTAATTTTTCAATTTAAGTTAAACATTTATTTTATTTTACCAGCATAATAGACTATAGATGGTGTTTTGTGAAGAATGGTTGAATTTTTGTATCATTTGTCCAAATTGAAGATTGTTATTTTTTTTGATGTCACGAACAACGTAAATTATCGAATAGTTTCACGAAATAATCAGGGGTGTATTACTACGGTTAGTTACAGTTCTTTATCGTCTGTTATGTCAACCAACTTTAATATTGTTTGTATAACAATCATTTTAATTACGATCAATTAACGTGTTTATTAATTTTGCTATGATAACAGTGTACTTAATATTTTTTTTATACATTGCGAATATATTTATAATATTTTAGAACCATTATCACATGGGTTCCGTTTTTAAGATGAATTATAACATACCTACCTGAGTATCTATTATGTAATCAAATATTATGTAGATCGATTCATTCGGCGCGTATGAGAAAAGGAACATTAAGAAACACACCTCTGCGCTTGTCGAGCACGTTGATCGCGTTAAAACGAGAGAGCTCATTGTCCTGTGGTGAAGTTTTACACTTACGCCACGAGATATGGAGTATAATATTTATTAGGTATAGTTAAAATTGTACTGCGGTGGACGCGATCGGTTGGTCTTGCGACTTTTCCTCGTTACGCCGCCGCCGTGTGGTTGTCACACTCCAAATATCATCTCGCGTCGTAAATTAAACTGCGAGTCTTTTTCTTTTCAAGCTCCTCTGGGTCGTGGTTAACACTAGTTATATGTGACTATTATTATGTGCACTATAGTCTCGTACAATTTTCATTATTCACAGCCGTAGTGATCAGGCTTCATAGACTACCGTTATCTTACAATATGATAATTTAATGCAAAAGAAAATAAATGCGTTTGTGGATACTTGAGTGTATCTACTGTATTTATTGACTATTGTATTTCGAATAGTTAGTATTAAAATAGTTAATATTTAACAATAACAATAATCATGAAATTGGCATAATATTATAATAATAATAAGTACTGATTGTATAGTAAATTAGAATTTAGAATACACTACAGTGATCGCCTGTTTAGCTAAATAAGTCAAGAGAATCCAAAAACTAAACATTAAAACATAGCTTAACCCTCATAAAAACCATAATAATAAATTCATTTCATCTTAGTAGCAAATATACAAATAACGAATACAGTAATAATAAAAAATCAGGTAAGAACGACATGAAACTACTAATAATGTTAATTAGTTTTCTTTCAATTGTTTAAGTTATAACTCATAGGTCCAATGGTTTATGAGAGCCTCGTTAAAATCTCAGCACTCATAATATTGTTTTATGATCACTGCAGTGGTGCAAATAGGCAAAATTTCACAGGAAGCTTCAGTCTACTGATATTTTTGTCTTCAAAATAGTATAAACCTATAGAAAAAAGTCAGGAAAAATATTTAAAGTGTGTTAATGTATAGTATGCCATTCGAGTAATATTTGAGTGGTCTTGTTAAGATTTGGCAGGGTCTAAATTCCCTGTTTGTATCACTGTTTGAGCACTTTCCTGCGATAGATATATACCTACTGCTGATAGCAAAAATATTGATATGTCATATATACTTGATAATAATGTGCGTTTGAGCGTTTCATTATATGTGCATATTATGACTAAGTTGAATCCACAGTTTAGGCGTGAAAAGTTTCCAAATCCTGCGGGTCCATAAAATATTTTTCCCATAAAGTGGACATAGAGTTTTCTTCGTTTGATTGTAGTATCAATAGTATATGTAATTGAGCAATATTCCTTTAAGTTTGTAAAGCATTTTTTAATAGAATATACCCCTACTCTTTTATAACTTAGCCTAAATTACTAGATATAATTGTAAACACGAGCACGCATTACGATTACATAGAAAACGCATAACGTGGCGGTGCATCGATTATGCATGTATTATATTATTTACTTAACACACACACAAATATAATATATATTATAGGTATTATAGTTAGACCCGTAGACCGTAGTTTATATTATGTTAATAATTAACATAACGATATAATTATTATTCGTAATTTTCTCTTTCGTAACTGCTCTGGTGTAATACCCACGCTGTCTTCTTGTAAATTGCATATCAATTCAATCGTGCCAAGTAAACATACAGTGGAATAGAACACATATATACACACATAAACGCATAATACTATAATAGTCATTAGTAGAAAGTATAATATTATGTTCACGTCGATGTCTCGTGATTAAATTGTGTTATAAGACGGACTAATTTTCTATGACGATCAAATAATATCGAACTAATTACATCCACCAGTCGATGGATTATTATTTATTTATTATTACGGCCTGACCACTGAACGGCTGGACTGACAACAATTTCACATATGTTTTATTGCTGCAATCCAATAAATATCTCTATCTCAAATTAATAATATTTGTACTCATCGTCAAAATTACACTATTATTCAAAACTTATAAAATTTACTATTTTTTTCTCGTAATTTATTATCACTGATTCACGTTAAATGTGCGATATACTTTATACAACGCGTTATGAATCGTTTTGACAAATTTGTTATTTAATTTTGTCACCTGAGTATTTCTATTACTTTTTTTTTGTAATTTCAAACACTGTCATTTGTCAGTGAAATCAAACTTCTATATCTACATCACTTTTCTCCATAGATAATATGATATTCAATCGACTAAAAGGAATATAGTTGCAGTGTCCTAAATAGAACCGCGTGTGTTGATTTTTAATTATAAAATACATGCCATACTATTGATCTACCATTGATAAATATATCATGTATATATATGATATTGCACTGCATCAGTTACCGTTTACGGTAAATTATTGTTTTACTGGAAAAACGACGTCATCGTCGCTGGAGGAGGTCGTCTCGGGCACACGACAGAGTGGTCTTGAAATATAATAATATATAATTTAGCCGCAAAAACTACGAAATTCGATTATACGTGACTAGTCGTTTGGAAAACTTTGCGACACACACAAATCAGTTGTGACGGCTGACGGGTTAAGAAGATGACTGGAAACAAGATAAAGAAGTTGTAAACGTCACACATAATATAATATACTACCTATAGGCTATAGTACCATTTATTTATATTGTTATGTGTATTGTATATGGGTATATCAGGATTACGAAAACAACTGACAACGTCACTTATGAGTTTATTGCACAGTGTGTAACAATAACATTGTTAAATTATTATTATAGCGGAACATACTATTTTATACCATCACCACAAACAGTACTAAAGGTTTTCCCTCCAAATAAAACAATTTTATTTTGGTAGTACCTAATACTACCTATTCGGTAGTAGTCTATTATACTTAAGACATAAATTATCTGTTTAATATAACGACTTTGAAGACAGCTAAAACTGCTTGCGCCAATTAGCAAAAATCTACACCGGAACCATTACGACTTAAAATGACTTAAAATTTTAGAAATATAGTTGGGAACAAATCAAATTAAAAAAAAGAGGTATACTTCTTACCTATGTTCATAATGTAGGAACTTATAATACTTATATGCAACTAATGTTTGAATAGTGCTTTTTACGTTATATTCATGTAACGGCTATATATACCAGATACCTATGTACCTATATTGCGGGTACTTTAAAATCTAATGATAACTTCTTTTTTTAAACATAATGGCTAATCAATAAAGTTAGTACCTTGTTCTGGAAAAAAAGCTTATTGTCGAGCTGCGCTTAATAAACTGAATAATTTAATGGTTCGCTAAAATTGAATGTACCTATACCAATTGTGGGCCACCTAAATCATGTTGTTAAACGACCATTTAAGCTCACTATTCATTCGTTCAATGTTTATTGATTATGTGTATGCCATTTGGCATAATATAAATCATTATTTAAATTAAAATTGTTGCCACCCGCAAACAGCCCGTTGAGAAATATACGTTTCATTCGTATATGTACAAGCAGTAAAGCAGTATATACAAGCAGTAGAGAGCCTTTGAGTCTGGAAACATATTTGACACTGAAGACAAGCGGCCACAATCATAAGACGAGTAAATCCAGCCGGCGTGTAAGCGGGGTATTCCCCACTCGCCACATTCATGACCGGAGGCGGTAGGGGACCACGGCGGCGACAGGTTGGCGTGCACGTCGTCGCGCGCGCGTACACATCCGTTCAGTCACTATTATATTGCATTCAGTTCAGTGCGTTCAGTTCGCACCATGAGGCGCGCGTGGCCTCCCGTTTACCGTCCGCCGCCCCAACAGAAAGTCGTGTCGGCCGCTGTGATGCCGCAGATGCAGTCGACGACGACGGCAGCCGCGACGCGTTACCGACGGGAATCCGTTGCGGCCGCAGCCGCAGCGGGAGCGTGTTTCGTCATCGCCGCGCCGTGTTCGTGCAGTCCGCCGTTGACCGTCCGCAACCAACAGCAGTATTCGGCGTACAATCAACACCGAGGACCGCCACCGCCTTTACCCTCACGGAACGGCTATCCGTACCGCTGTTGCGTGGATGGCCGCCCGCAAAAGTCGTCTTCCCATCCAGCGGTGACGCGGTCACCTTTGCAGCGGCCACATCAACAGCAGCACAACCATATCCAACAACAGCAACCACACCACCACCAACAACAACAACAACAACTACATTCGCAGCGGCGGTGTGCGTACGTCAGGCCCCGGCCGTCCAGATCGCTCGAAAACCTTCTCCGGGTCGTCGAACTTGATGATCCCGCAGCGGTGGCCGGCCACCATGGTGTTTACGAAAAGAGTTGTCACTATGGGAATCCCAGACGCAAGATGAAGGTGACCGGTAAAGAGAACAGACACGCGTGGAAGCGCAGGTCGATGGAGAGCCTTCTGTCAGCCCGAGATATCACCGCCAAAAACTTTGAATTCTTCCACCACGTAAGAAGAACAAACTACGAGCGTAATACACGTATATTTTATACATAGGTGCACATGCCCCTCCCGCTATATCTCAACGATAAAGTAATATTATTACAACCTATTTTAGTCAATAACGTGGCGAACTTGAAATTTTACAGAGGAAAGTCTAATGTTCCACCCACTTACCCAAAACCCGATTTAGTCATTTACCGCTATATTTTTAACATTAGAGGTACCTATAAGTTCTAAAACACTATAGTTAATACTAAACTATTATTCAAAGGCTATTGCACCCACCCATCATCCCTTAAAAAACTCGAAGGCGACCGCTCTTCGCCTCGCCACTGTCACTATATTTAGTCATAATAACATAATGACATCGATAAACCATATTTAAACATTTTACCATTAAACATATGTAATATTATAAAGTTTTGGCATAATATGCTTGTCCTCGTATAAGAACCATATACGTCATTACACCTATATATAATCTAAAATATTGTTGTCGTTAATTGGTCAAAGAAAAATATTTGGCCACATGTCATATAATATTTATTGTTGTTATACTTACTAATATTTAATACAGATGATTTAAGAATTTTTTTATTTCGAATATTAAATTTCCATCACTAGTAATTTGCATTGATTAACGTGCTCCGGTTTTACTAATATTCACGAGTGAAATTTTCGTAGAAAATATCTATGATAATTAGGTACCTATATAGCTAAAATCTATTTGAATTTTTGTGTTTGTTTTGGAGTGTCTTATTACAACTTGGCTTAGTGATATCTACGCATCGCTTCATAACGATAAAAATGATTTTGATTCGGAACCATATGTAAATCATAATATTTATTGAAAATATATCAATTAACACGGTAAACGCATGTTTTTTGTTATAATTTATCAAAAGTAGTATAAACTATTGTAAACAATTTATTTTTAAAAGCTATTTGTTATGTTTGAAAGTTTGAAAATTATTTTCAACTTATTCTTATCAGGTCTAGATAATTATGCGATGGAAGGCTATTAGTGATATGCCGCGTTATATTACACCTGATATATTTTCAATTCCTTGGTTAAGTGATTTTTTTCTACGGACGAAAAATGTTTAAGCTTATATAAAAATTCTATAGATTTGTTTGAGAGTAGTGCTACCTATATTAAAAATGATTTAGCATTAAATAGTATGTAATAATTAGTTTTGGATTCCTTGTAACACAATCTATTTTAAAATTAAAGGATGCTTTATTTTCACCTAGATTATAGTTTTAAAATTATCTGTAATTACATATTGTTCATTTAAGCATATTTTTGTTACGTAATATTTTAAGATATTTTATTTTTTTGCATTTCATATGCATATTTTACATTTTTATATTGCGTATAAATCTTGGCCTTAATATGTTTTTTTTAATGCATTCCGTCTATCGTAGTCATTTGACAATAAATTGGTTCTCTATACAATTATACCCAATAATAATAAATGATTTTCTGTCACAAATCGTAAATTGTTCGTTATATCTTATATGTAATATTGTCATTTCAAAGATATAATATTATACAGTTTTCCGTGACATTGCGAATTTATATAAACGTATTATCCCGTTTAATTCATTTCCGTGTATATGCTTCGTATTATCGTTTGAATTTGGTATTAACGAGCCGTAAAAGTGGGATGTAATATATGTTAACTTGTTGTATCGTCCACCGTGCACGCTTAACCGTATTTTTATGAAAATGTTTTTACCCGACACTAATTGTTTCTTTTTCTTTTAAAAAATGTGACCATTATTTTCAATCACTTTCATTTCAAGTCGACGATAATCTTGTATGACTGTTATTGACCGTATGCATGTTGTAGCATATACCTATCTATTTAATTATTAATTGTAGACGGATTCTTTATACTACTTTAATATCGTAGTCGGGTGATGATCGGAGACATTCACAAATAATAAAATTATTACCTTGGTCATGCTGCAAATAAATAGATAATTGCATGGAGTTTACTTACAACTTATTTTTATTTTTTTTTTAAAGTTTAATTGTTCAAAAATTATATTGATTCCAATTCGTTTAATAATATTTATTATTTTTAGGTAGGTATTACTAATTATTTTAATACCTTTTATAATAGCCATATGTGAATATTATATTGATCCGTTCTACTCTAGCTTATTATTATTATATTATATTATAATAAAATATTACGAGATGGTACACGCATGCTTCATAATCTAAGGACTTCTGACATTCTAGGCAATATTTTGTCTTTAGTCCCGCCGAATTCGTACCCTATACTCAATTTTACCATTGCCGGGCACGATATCATAATGCTGCATATCTGTAGTAGATACACGCAATCTTTTATATATATATTTATGTCTTTACCAATTCTGATATATTTAATAACACGAAGCAATGCAACTAAATTTATTTTCATCGCGTGACTATATTTTAACTACGTTTCACCTAGATTTTCTCAACCTATATATTATACATAATACCAGTAATTCACAACGTGGGTGCTAGTGCCCCCTTGTGGGCATTTTTAATTTTGAGGGGGTGTGCTAAGAAGAGTAATTCTTCGTAATTTATATTTTTATAGCTGTTTAACTATAATGTATAACTATGCATAATAAAATAACAAATTGAATTTAATTTTTAAATACAAAATGTAGTCGAGAAAAAAATGGTTGGTAAATACCACATTATAGGTATGTAGGCATGTACAGTCAATTCTAAATAATGGTTGTAAAGTTGCTTGTATTAGTCGCTCTTCGTATAAGAACTATGTGAGCGATATAGGTCAGCATTTCCCAAACTGTGGTCCACTAGGGGTCCGAGAATTATTATTATGTATTATTGTTGGGTTAGGTTATTTTATTACAGGGTCTGCAATAACTTTTACTATCCTCTAAGGGGTCCAGCGGAGGTACAGCTTGGAAAACGCTGACATAGGTGACTGATGAGTATCATCCTACTGTGATACAAGTCGCGGTTAGCCTCGAGGAACGGGCGGTGCGTTACGTCGGGTGATTCCAGAGGCTGGTCCGAGACTTGTTTCGATGAAATGTCATCGCACTCCACATCACTATATGTACGTACTGGCGCGAAACGATTCTATCGAAAACCGTAGTGAATTTAACGGTGGCAGTGTAACGGACGGAAAATATCTCGTTTACCCGATCGCCACGTATGGAAAACGTGGTGATGGTCGACGATTCCCAGCGAAACGGAAGGACCCCGGGATTTATAGACATCATTGTGGAATTTGTGGATGGACGTATTAGGAAAGTTCTTCCCCAAACTTATCCGGGAAATCCGGTGAGGTTCTAAATCGTCTGGTCCAATCGTGATAGTGTATACCTTGGTGACCCCCGACCCAAATGTCTTCAATACTCGGGGCTACCGGGTAACCATGATATTTTACGTTAGGTGATCTTATAAAACGTTGTTGTGCCCTTTGCCCGCTTCCTACATAATTTTCGGTAGTTTACATAAGTCGCCAAGTGCCGGCACACATATTCAAATGTTGATATGTACCTAATGTAACTGTAATACTGCGCAAGTGTGTCGGATGTTACTGTATAATATTTTGGTTCAAGGCGCTGCTGATTATCCAATGTTGTTGGTAGCTAGGTATTCTGATGGACATCAAAGGATGTTATAATTGGTTATGAATTACGATTGTTGCGTAAGTGTGTCCGACTTCACACAGGCAGGTGTCCTAAATAACTCCACAACTTATGTTGCGTCAAGATGATTTATCAATAATTTATTAAAAATATCCTTATTTGATATAAATTATACGCCTATAATGGTTACCTATGTATAAGTGTATACTGTACATACTATGTACTATACATATGTATAGGTACTACCTATCGCTGCCAGAAATATATTTTACCTAACCTTTGATGTAATATTATGTTACATAGGTAACATAGGTAATATTATGTTACATATTAATTTATTATAATATTATATGATTATTATAAACTATTATTACAACATACGAAAAATTGTTTATATAAAGTTTTGTATAAAATATAGTAAGTATGTCCAAATTCAGATTCATCCTTCGTGGAATCGTGCATTAGCATTTTTCCACCGCATATGAATACTTTCTGTAATTCTGCGTATACAGTTGTCTATTTCTAATACATATTATTATATACCTATATATAATAAATATGTTTGCGCATAAAACAAGTTTTCCGTACATTATCGAAAACCGTTCCGGTATATACACTACTGATGAGTGACGATGTCGACGACATGAGTGACCCGAGCACTTTCGCTGTTGTCTTAGGCTCTTAAAGGTTGCTGTGCGTAAGACAAATTCTTTAAAACCGGAGTAAATGATTTTATGTATAAATAAAAAAAATAGAAAAAAACGGTGCACGTGGATTAAAAAAAAAAGAATGACATTGTTGGTTTTCACTTTTGGAAACTTGTTTTTGTTACACACATACTCAATATATTGTATAGGTACTATACTACCCGTCGTATCTGTCTGCTGCAGCGTCGAGGTGTAAGTACACATATAGCTTTTATTAAACGCGTAAAACGTTCCCGGTGGAAACAAATCGTTACAGATAAGGGGAGTAGAAGAAATGTCAAGTCTCAATATTATATTATATACCTACTTGGCGTTATGCATTTGAAAGCGATTCGATTATTCACTTACATTTCCATTTCATATATTATATAGAAATCATGCCTGCCGCCTGGGCAATATTATTACTATCTCATATATATTATACAGTCGTGTATAAATAGGTGAAACATAGACAATATGAAGTATGTTCGCTGCGACTAATGCGTGCTGTCACCAAGGTCGGGATGTGCTGTATACAGTATACTATAGTGTGTGCATAAAAGTTATCGCGCAGACGAACAGTAATATTAACGACAGCTGGGTGGTATTATGAAAATTGGCTTTTAGTGACAAAAATTAATAAAATTGAAGTAGAAATCAGGTTAAAAACTGGTTGATCTTTAAAACGTTTTTATTTTAGTCTGTATCGACGGATTTTATAACCCTAGCAGGATGTTTTAATAAGAAAGAAATGTCTTAGCATTTCTTAAAAAAAATTGCATTAATACAAAGAGATCCCGTTTGAATGCCTATACGATCATTATTTTGAAAAATTTTAACTTAATATATTTATATATTGTTTTTTTTTTTACACTTTAAAGTTTTTACTCTTTTGAATAATAAAATATTTTAAAATATGCTGTAATAATCAATAAATCTTACATTGTGCATTTATAAGAGGAGAAAATATTTTCGGGCGCTAAACACTTAAATTCCAAATCCAACAAATTTCTATTGAATTGGATTTACCTATTTTATTTTATTTCCGAACTATGCAAATACATAAGGTCGCGCTGAGTGCTGGTATTAACATAAAACTAGATTAAAATGGTAAAGTTAATTTTGTTTTTTCTTTAAAGAATTCAATATGGAATTAGTAAATGCTTTTAACGATATTTTTTTTCACTAAAATTTCGATCGACCATACCTATATTAAAAGTACCTACTATGCACAAATAGAAGAATAATTTATTATTATGTTACTCCTGCTAAAAAATAAAAATACTGTATAAATCAGTCACATCAGTCATATTTATTTTTAAATCGTGCAAATTTACTCAGCATTATATTAATATTACCTACATTAGGTACTAAATATATTTATGCTATAAAAAATAAATAAAAATCTACTGAATTAACTTAGAATTTTTTAGAAAGTTTTAATAATCATCTTATCCACATTTTTGTATGTATACCTATATAGCTTGTAGTCTTCTCAAGAGGTAATTATGATTAACGCTATTATTTTCTTAAATATGTTAATATTTCCTATGTTTAATACTACCTAGTATAATATTATATCTACATTACATAGTATTATGTAGGAATTTAAATAGCAAATATTAAATGTGATATTACAACAATTAACAAACTGTTGTTAAAAAATGTAATTAAAAATACATTTAAGCAACGTGGGTACAATTCTAACAAATTATTGAGAAATAAAACTTTTAACTTACGAGTTACGACTACCTAGCAGAATTATACCTATTACGTTGAACCGTTATAAAATTTGCAGGGTGTCAGCTGACGATAGTAAAAAACAATGTAGTGCACTTTACATTATACTGTATGTGCTCTGGTGCCAAATTTAATTTTTCATACACGTTGATTTAACCAACTAATTTCAATATGTATTCAATAATTTATAATTCAAACATAATATTACCATTATAATATATATTTTTCTTTTCTTTTTTACTAAATGTATTCGGTGGATGTCTGGCGCCTGCACCTTAAAAAACATTGATTATATTATACCTGCATATATTAACGGCAAAATTTGGTGGTGAATCTTCTTTTATTAATTTTAAATACATAGCCTGTGCCTTTTCGGTTTAAGTACAATGAGAGTATAACTTTATAAGAAAAGTGAAATAGTACACTGTTGTCACTTAGCTGGTAAAGAATCATCCCATTGGTGACATTTCCTTTTTGTATTTTTATTTATTCGTTTAAATTTATATTAGTATAAGTCTACTAGTCTGCACCATTTGCACTTTAAGTATCATGGAGGATTACCGAGAATTTCATTGGCGCTGGATCTAAATTAAAAATATTAAGTCTGCCTAAATTTTTTCGCTGCCTTGATAATCTATTTTTTTCATAGACAAAACTTATCGTAAATTGTTTGTTTATTGGCTATTGAACTAAACTGAAAGTATTGGGTATGCGCATCGAGCGCATATACTAAATTCGTTCTAAATCCTCCGCTTTTCACGTGCATATAATTTATATATGTATTTCGTAAATTAAATACATTTTCATAGTTTGATTTAAGACATAAAATACTTTTAATATACGCGTTTACATAATTAGTACATGGCATGCAATTAGTATTTAATAATTAATTATTTATTCAACATTCTTAATTTCTTATCAATTTTTAGTATTACCGTGACCGTGACTGAGAAAACCTACTTTAACAAGCTAAATAATTATACCAACAGTTGCAAAAATGATGTATTTTCGAAAATTCAGTATCGAAATATGATATTATTATAGTATAGTTGTATACGTATTTAAGCAAATTAATTAATATTAAAAACATATTAAAAATGTTATTCTTCCCCGCGGTGGTATAAAAAGGTGTGAAAGGTACTTTTCCCCCTTAGCAGCGTCTAATCGCAGAGTGACGGCCACTGACAGCTGTGCTGTTCCACTGCAGCGAAACCGTACCTTAAACACTATCTTACGTATTATATTGTTTGTAGTTTGTACTATAATAAAATATACATGTCTTTGAATAAAATGCAACCCATGCCGGTTATCGGTGACTGCGAATGCAATGTATACTATATTAATATGATTGTGTTATAATATCCATTATATCGGTGTTCAGTCGTTTGACACTTTATGTTAATATTATTATTATTTTTTTGTTATCATCATTAATACACGCTTAGATACTATTATAGTCATGCATTGACACTTTAAGCGTCTTACCCATAAATAAAACGCATTGAAATACGTGCATGTTTGGCTATAGTATGTAGAACACGCCGTCGCCGTCGATTTGTTTTTACGGTTGACCGACTTGTACACTGCAGTGGTTTACGATGGTCAGATATTTTTTTTTATTATTAAAAATGAAAGAGTCGCTCTTGAAACGATACGAGTATATTATACATACCTATATTTACTATAGAAAATTGGGTCGTCAAGTTGTTTTCAATAAACACCTTTATCTGCATAGGTACATAATATTATTATAATTTATAATACTTGCATACATCGGCGATCAGGGAGCGTGTAAGTGCGAAGCCAGCTACAGTGGTCTCGCCGGTTCGACCTAGCAGTTCCGTGAACAGTGAACACAAATTAGGTATAAATATTATAATTTCATAATTTGTTCCTATACCTTGCGGGATGAGTATATTTAAGACAGTCGACTCACGCGGACCCGGCACTCTAAGCATATTACATAATCGATGGCCACAACCGCTTTATATCTGCAGTGTTTTATTTAGAAAATATAATACCTACATAATATATAGGTACCTAATAGGATTCTGATAATATTATAAAAAATGTACATTTCTTAGCACCTTAGATATACAAAGGTGCTAGCCTCATATCAGCGTGATAGACTGCTTACAGGGGTGGAGTACTCCCCTCAAATGTGCTATCGTAAACCATAAAAATCATTCTATAAATTAAATCATCATGATCACTCAATCGGAAAATAATTATGTAGGGGCACGTTAAAATACCGGAAAAATAAATTGGGGTACATCCCTGACCAGCAGTACTCCTGTGTCTCTCTCCATCCCAACGCAACAAGTCAAGCACCGCGATAGTACCAATGGCTTTGCTCAACAGTATTATATATTTCACACAATGCGTATAGGTATACTCTACTATACATATACTTATAGGTGCGTAACTATATGGTATACAAATCGTCGACGTTTCGGTTCAAAAGCGATTTTCACGCATAACACGCCGACGGTCACAACTGTTTTATTTATATATTTTATATATTATTACCTATATATATATATATAACGTAGCCGCGTAGGTGTGTGCATTGTACATTGCGCCGTATAGAATCGTACGCGGTTTTGGTGCGAGCGGACTAGAAACCCGCGGTACCGTGACCGACGCTGACGACCAACCCCGCCGTTCGGTCGAGTGTATAACAGTCATCGTGGCCCGCGGGCTCACGGCGTCATTGTTTTCAAATACTAAATATAATAATACGAAATAAAATGCGATATTATACTCTACGGGTATAAATTATATTTTTATAGACAATAATGCACGACGTGGTATTGTACCATATTGTTCTCATCTCAGCGCTTCGCCGCTACCTACGTGATATTATAATATCATAATTCAATAATTGTATGTATGATTTGACGTGTATACAATAATATTGAAACAATAACCGCGAATCGTCGGAGGTGAAGTATGTAGGGTGATGGATGGGTATAGATGAATGGATTGATAATAAATAATTCCTATTTCCTTATATAGTCTATAATATCAGTATTTTTCAGACTTCATTCAGATGATTGTTTTTAATTATGGAAATCTAAATGTATATATTGTATTACCAAGTGGCTATAGTAATAATGATTATAGTGTAGTAGGTATATCACGATAATAATCTAATTTCGGCGCGAGCGACACGCAAGTATAGTGAAATGTTATACTCGTATAATAGTTTAGCCTCATCAATTGAGTGTAATAACTATTTTTTTATAATAACGACTTTAAAGTGTTACGACCAAATTGTACATATCATATATATTTATACATATTAAAAAACGAAATCAAATTAAAGTCCCTGCATTTAGAGCTAGTATATGAGATTCATATGATATTGCAGATAGTAGATATCTAATTAGGTAACGTTATATTAGCACAGACACATAATAATACAACTAGACAGCCAACTTGGCTATAATGTCCAAGTCGGTAAAATGGCAGTCTTCTCTAATCAAATTTATCAATGACGTTCGCATTTACAATTTTTTCGTTTAAATTGTGAACTCACTCTGACAAGAAAAGCTGACCATTTTCCGGAGTTCAAAACATTACTTTGCAGCACGGCTATGGAAGTCGGCTGTCTATTGTAGTATATATCTGTGGTTATCATACAATATTTGTCGTGTTTACGTTATCAATATAATACATATAGGTATCTAGTATCTACGAAACCGAGTATATACTTATAAAATATTATGGTTATCGATCTTAATGATAGAGTTTTCGTATAATTTATAATTTGGCGTTTCTATCGTTTCAGCCGACGTCGACGGCGGCCATCGGCAGCACCAAGACGGCCGGGGCCAACCACACCGGCGATGGATTACTGGATGGCAGTGCATATAACAGCGACCAAAACGGCAAGCCCAGGTTCATAGCGGTCACCCGGTTAGAGGACGTGCAGGCGGTCCGGTGCGCAGAGTTCCACCCGCACGGTTCCGTGTACGCGGTCGGATCCAATTCCAAAACTCTCCGGATATGCGCTTATCCCAAAGTGACGGATATCAGGTCAGTAAATCTCTTTCTCTATCCAACTCACCTAATCGTTCTCGCTTCTTCTACCGAGAGATAAATATTTAAATATGGATAACTCACGCGAGCCTCTGACACGCACTCGACACTATAATCGCCGCAGTTCGTTTATGCGTATTTTATCCTCTTTCTCTACCTCCTCTCTCCGATCTATCTATCAATATTATACATCTAGTATACATATTATATATACCTATCTTCCCAGAGCATCATTCGACACGCGCCGCCGCCAAACCATTGCCGCGGTATCGATTACCATTATATATTATTATTATTATTATATTACTATTATACAGGTATACATTATTATTATCGTACTAAGTTTATTAATTTAATTTCTCCGGAATCACCGCTGTTTTTATATTGTTACCTGGGACCACTTATATATTATATACCTACTCACAAAGAAATCGGAAACAATTATTGTAACTCTGCTTTCACAAAAGTATACAAAAGTATTAAATATTTTCGAAATGTGCACTTTTTGATTGTAATATGCACACTATACTCAGTTTTTATACCTATACCCATGGTTGAAATATACAGGTTATTGCATATCGACTATAGGATTGTTATCATCAGTAACAAAATGGCTGCATAAAGGGATATCACAAATATCAATTTTTCTTATCATCAAAAATACGCTGACAAAAGCTAACAAATTCAAAATTCCACGTATACATACTTGATTATTATTGGCTCCCTTTACGCTGCCATTTTTGTTTTTATCATAAAATATTTGATTGAGAAGAGGTATATGTGCAATAACCTTGTATATTTCAACCACTACTCAAACAACCTATATAGTGTTACAACTTACAAATTACAATATATGTTTATTTCTCTTCATACGCCTATCCTCGCTATTGCCTGCGATATTTTCGTAAACAGCATACAAGTAGTTGTAATATATATTGCACATCTGTAGACTTTTCGATAAATTTGACAAAACTTTTACAGTTTTAATGCTTATTTATTGATGACACTGTTCATTCTTAACTTCGATTCAACTTACCTAATATATATCTCAATTTGTAAATACATTTGGCTCATAATCTGATAACTAATTTGCTTTTTAGTATCACCCTTGGATGTATAGTTGGATTGTATAGTCAGTTTTTTTTCTTATTTTTCGTGGAGTGTTGGAGGTTAATTTTGGCCGTTTCAAAGAATAAATTGATTTTTTTCGCACAACTTCAGACCTGCATTATCCATACCGTACTGCGTTTTATAGAAACGTCAACCGCAGGCGTTCTAATTTCGTGTTGGTTGATATAAGTTACATAAGTCATAAGTAATATCAATATGGCATTGCGTGCATCAAATATAAATATTCGTTTACAATTCGTTTGGAAACTATATTAAAAAAAAACTTTCGGCACTCCGCAGCCTTCGAGAACCGAAAAATTACCAGCCACAAACTGCGAGTGTTTTTACAATAATAAAATATGAAGCGCATTGTAGTGTTCTGTGCTGCACATTAGAGTTTATGATATTATTATTATTATGATTATTGTAATATTTTATATTGTTCGTACACGGCGTGTGACCGTTGCACAAGTTTTCGAAACACAAGACCCGTACGATCCGTCGTGTCTCGTGACTTATAAAATCAGAACTGGTACACTTTTTGTATACTGCATGTATATTATATTATTATACTGTAGGCAAACCAATTCGTTGAGAAATACAAAACGTACCTAATACCTATACAGATTACAGAGTCGTATTAAAGAGGTATATTATAAAATCGTACATATTATTAATTCGCATTCACCATGACGCCTACAACGCGCAAACGGTGTTTATAAACGTCGTATGTGTCTAGTGTATTACTCGTATAATTTATAATTTGAATAATTGCGTATAGCGGCTTGGGTTCTTATTTCACTTATCTCAAGACAGCATGAGATTGTGGTATCGTGAATTAAGTAGTAATAATATAATTTATTCACGCGATTCCTGCTGTATATATTATAATAGGTACCTACTTATATTATAATATTTTTGATTCGTTTACTAGGTACCTACTTATATTATAATATTTTTGATTCGTTTACTAGGTACCAAAAATATTTTTGATTTAAATACGGTGATAGTGTCCACATGTCTCGAAATGCGGTTTGTATGAACGCGCGTGCGCTGTATAATATAATAAAGTTGGGTCTAATAGTTTTTTTCTTAGTATTTCTGTATAAAAAAAAGTAAATAATTGACAATTATTTTTACGGTATATAGTTCATGCGCAGTTAATCTTTGCGTTCATATTATAAACAAACCATGTGGTTTGAGTATAATAACAAACATGTAAGATAATTATTTGGTTTACCACAAATATCTACGAGGTAAACCGAAACGCATAATTCGTTTTAATATAGGTACATTGGTAACATTAACGTTATTTGGTGATAACCGTAATCTACAATAACGACCAAAAATTAGCTATAGGTACCTGACGACTTTTGTTTTTTATTTATAAACACAATAAATTGTAGTTGTAAAACGTGCCTAATGAAATATAAATAATAATTTGGTATATTTATTATGACTTTCAGTTTGCACATATTTTTTTTACAAATGTCATTGATTATATAATATTTAAAAGTAATTATATTTATTTTGATTTTCTCTTGTAGGCTCATTAAAGTACCTATGCCTTAAATAGGAAATATATTATATAGTTCCCGTGTAGTGTTTATAACCTAAATGTTGTAACCACATCATATAATATGATGGGTCATAAAAAGTCCACTATTATATTTTTTAGTGTCCAAAGAAACCTAACGTTATTTACAATCAATTAATATATATATATATATAATATAATATAAAAGACTCGTCCGGTTTGTAGGTTATAGCCATAACCATGGTCATTTACTCAATGATTTGTTCAGTAATGATCCAGCAAAGAAGCATAAAAGAAGAAAAAGAAAAGCCCCCTCAGTGATCAGTAAAGCGGTCTGATATTTATAAAATTATATTATGTGTGTATATAATATATTATATATATATTCTTTGGCGCTTAGTCGTTATTGAAAACCGAGTGAAAGCTATTATTGCTTGCTTACGTTATTCTAATGACTTAGATTGTGTCATTTTTTTCTCTTCAAGTATCGTTCACTCGGAAAAAATGTTTTTCACGAGCGATGTGATTTATTATGATTTATGTTCGTTGCAAAATTCCATTTTGTCGATTTGCCATAATCCAAAAAAAACTGTTTGAACTTTCTCAAATTGCTGCTAGGTGAAAACTGTAATTTACTTCACCATATAAGTCGCAGGTGTTGAACAAATTCACGAAATACTAACGGAGTGGTTAAAAATTAGTGAAGTGTAAGTGGTAATCGAAAAAATATAGTTATTGTGGGACAAATACTTCACATACACCTCACACATAATATTATATACCTACTGGCTACTATAATATTATGTTCATGCGCGCTGTTGTATAACAATCATAAGTCATAACCTCATAACTCTTAAATATTGTGCATCATGTCATATGACTATCGGATTCCGATTATTTCCGTGCACTTTCGAAGGGTTTTTCGTTTCCTTAATAATATTCAGTTGTATGAATCACCAATGCATCATTGATTCGTTTTGTTCCGGAATCTGTTTTTTCATACTTGAAATGTCACGAAGGCATTCTTTCTAATTAATCGAATCACGGATAAGAAAAATTGCCTGGTAGAACCTACATAAACTGACAGCGTAATATAATTTTAACGGGTTCTGTAATTACAAGTAGATTGCAGCAGCCTTTAAATACTCTTAAAATAATTGTAGTTGCTGATTTGTCGTTAAACTGGTATAGGTACTTATAATCCAATGTTTCTATATTACGATAGCCAAGAATTATCTTTTGATCATTCCATTTTTAATTAGAATTTTCTCTATTACCTATGCAACTACCTATATACTTTTATACGTTTTTTATAATTACCTCCTTATTACCATATAATTTTTAATTATTATTAACAGTTGAGTATATAGACTTGTTTGAAGGACAAAAAAAACAAAAGATTTGGAGAAAATAATACAGTAGGTATACCTAATGTTTGAATTTATTATTTTAATATCTAGTAAATTTCGGTATTTTGTTCGGTTGATGGTTGGACTTCAACCATTAGAGCAGAGGTTCCCAACCTTTTTGACTCGCGGCACCCTTGGACATTTTCTAAAAATCCGGAGGCACCCTATACTCTATAATCTTTAGTCTATACTATAGAGTACTTCAGTTCTATTTATTAGTGCATAAGTATAATCAAAAGTAGTAAGGTTTTAGGTGCATAGTATATACATATTAAATTTTATAAACAAATTATTACATTGTATTTATTTTTAATGAAATTGTTTTTTCTAAAAAAATATTTCAAATAATTTCGCGGCACCCTAAAAAACTTTCGCGGCACCCTGGTTGGGAATCTCTGCATTAGAGGAATATATCAAAAAAATCTATAATTATAATTTATTATTTCCAGATGTTATGCTTAATATTAATAAAACAATGGATTCACGAATTACTATAGTATAATACTATTTTAGTAGGTACCTAATACCTATGTTAAATGTATATAACATATATGTTATGATAATATGTTGAGCATATCTGTCAGTTTACAAGTCCGGTTAACAAGTTTTGAAAAATTCAACCATATTGGATATTGAGTAATTTTTAAGTTTTTAACTGTATACATTTAAACAATATTTTGTTAAAAACAGTATTTACACCATCGTGATGATATTCGTGTGGTGTAACGAATGATAGTTTTTTTCTATACTAACACGATATTTACAGTTTTTATCGTAGGTATACATTATATATATTATATATTCTATATAGGTAATGTATATTTTTTATGTTTGTTATGTTTATTTGTTCTTCCGTGTTTATGATGTTAGGTAAGAAAATAATATTGTATAAATATTAGCTTAATATATTATAGAATATAATTAGGGATTTTTTACATTTACCCCTCTTCCCACCAAAAAAAAAAAAATTATTTAAAAAGTTAAAAAGGAATCAATTAGGTAACCACTATGCCATAAAGTAGGTGTCAATTAATTCTCTGTCAATGATATTCCTATTTAAATTTCAAAACCTATAACTTAGGTAGGTATAACGCCTTATAAGTTACTAGCTGTCCCGCCCGGCGTGGCCCTTGCCAAATATTATTTTTTTTTTTAATTTCTATATAAAAACGTGCTTCATATCATGTACCTAGTACCTACTGTCCTACGAACGATGTCAAGGAGCTTATAAACAACCAAGAACTATAATATTATTAGATTGACGTCGTACATTGTACTTATTCTAGCAGCCTGATCTTCCTTTGGGAGATAAATTTAAATAATTATTAAAATAATTTTAATAATTTTAATAATTTAAATAATAACACCGTTGGTTGCACTACACAGTCGTGTACATGGATTTTGTGTTGAAATGAGACAACGTTATTGGTCAAATTTTTGTGGGAAAGTAAGGTCCAACCAGTACTATTTTGTGCAACAGCCTACTCTTATAGTATAGATATTTATATATGATTTGATAAATTGTTGAATTGTCCGCAATAATAATTTAGCGTATGGGTACTTCTGTTATAATCTTCCTACTAACAATGTAATAATATTATATAATGCACCCATCTATACAAATTTGACTGTGACACCGTCTAGCCGTTACGTAATTCTTTCTTTTAGTCACAAAACATGTTCCCTGTATATTCCTAGTAAACCGTCCTAAGCGAAAGAATTTTTATTTATTTACCAATCCCAGTCGCATTTGATCGCATTAACATATCTACATGGTACCCGTAAAAATTACCTAACAACGCAATTTGGAAACTTCTTCCTCTATACACTTCATCTCTGGGTACCTACTCTTTCATACAAGACTGTGTATAATACGTTATCGACGGTGATAATTGCTTCGAGAAAGATGGTCTTACGACGTTGTTCCGCTGCTGGTCCGACGGGTCGTGATAACCTTGTGGTCGTCCTTCCGGGGACTGTTGAATGCCAAAACACGCTCACACCGCATAATATTTATTTTATAATATATAGTTATCACTTATCAGCATCGGCGTAGGTAGTTTTTTCTCTCATCGACACGTATCGACGAAATGTCAAATTGTATTGTGTAATAATAACGCAACGGTAAATATTATTTGTTCGTAGCTCGGGGCGGCGTATAACATATAGAAACGAAAAAAAAACACTTCCTTCCGGACCAGTCGACTTCGCGAGTGCGACTATGACATTTAAATATCGCCTTTCACTAATCGCGTTTTAGAGACTATCCCGGTATATTAACAACATAATAATATTATCATCGTATACGCTTGCTGTACCTATACGTATAGGTACAATATCGCTTACCGCCGAACCGAGTCAATGATTATAATATGTTATCGTTAAAACATAACCAGCCGTGGACCGTGGTGACTGGTGGTGCGGGCGAAGAGGCGGAGAAGATGAATAAAAAATAAACATTTAATTAAAAACAATTTTTTATTTTTAACGTTTTCCGTCACTTTCGCCAAATCATTACACCTGCGACCCTTACCGCCTATCGTTTTACGGTGTATTACCGACTATTATCATTCAAATCATACACGAGTGCACGATGTATATTATGTAAATATAAATATTTTGCAAATTTTGTCCTCTGAGGTTCGGCGAAATGTATGAGTTTTGTTCAAATATTATGAAAATATCATTGCACATTTTGTCTGGCGCTTGTTATGAAATATCTCTGTGCCGACGTCTATTATTTGCGCACGGCCGGAGACATCCACGCATAATATATTACCTATATGATTATCAGCTCGTTTATATTCGTACCCGCTAAATTCACTCATAGCATTAGGCATAGGCGTAAAATGGGGGGGGGCGAGAGGGGGCAACTGCCCCCTCTCACAAAATTGAACGGGGCAATGCCCCCTTGGTATTTTGTAAATTAATTTGAAAAATATTATCAAAAATGCATTTTAGATTTGTAAGAATTACTTTTTCGAAAAACTAAAAAGTATATTTTAAAAAGATTATCTATAGAAAAAAAATTAATTGATTAATCGAAATGTATTTATTCATTGTCATTTGCCATAATATGCGATATGCCATCTTAATTCATCACGATAACAGAATTTAGTAATTTGTAACACCTACAATATTAACTTTGATGACTTAAAGGCAGAATTAAAACTGTTTGGGAAAATGTGTTCATCAACTAATATTGATGAACATTTTGAAGCCCATTTAACTTTGTATTTAGAAAAAGACTTGATTGGCTCATTTGACAATATTTACCTTCTTTATAAAATTTTTCTTTCTATTCCAATGAGTTCTGCTTCAAGTGAACGTTCGTTTTCATCTCTTCGTCGCCTCAAAACATTTACAAGAAACACGATTGGCCAAGAAAGACTTAGTAGCTTGGCTATTTTACATATTGAAAAAACTTTTGAAATTAACTTTGATACAATTATTGATCAGTTTGATGCAGATTCAACAGAAAGAGGTAGAAGACTTCAATTGTCATAGACTTATTACAACATTATAATATTAGGTTTAAATTTTAATAATGTTATAAGTATAATCTTTGTATTTATGTATAAATATAAATTCCATTTTATTTAAAAATAAAGCAACAGGTAGAATATATAAATGCAAAATGTTTTTATTAAATAAACCATCATCTTATCAAGCTTTTTCCGTCATGTCATTTAATTTTACATGCTACATTAAAGATTTATCTTAGATAATATTATTATGTTATGCTTTCCAGTTTCCATTGATTAAGTATATTTAGTGTCTTAATTAATATCTAAATACCAGTATACGGTATATCGACATAAAATAAAATTTGCCCCCCCATAAAAATTGCCCAAGTTACGCCCATGGCATTAGGCATTGAATACGTGTGTTTAAGGCATGTTCGGTGATTACACGGGTCGTATAGAATCTAATTATTGGTTAGATATTATATTTGTTTTTAGAAAATCTAGAAGTGACTTTGTTTGGTTTTCGTTACGGTATAAACTGTGTTAAAAAACCAAACAGTATTAATGAATATGCACTATGTTGTTAAAAAAAATAATAAGTTTAGCATAGCAGCCTCGAGAATTAAGCCCTTAGCGAAGGTATATAATATATAGGTATAACTTACTTTCTCGCGACAAAGACCTAGCATAATACGTACATTATATTGTTATTAATTAAAAAAAAAATCATCTACCAAAACTACGACGGTCTTCGATTTAAATTAGAAACGACTGGAGAAAATAAATTAAATCTATATAATTATCTCAATAAATCCTATTGGTTGTATTTCTGTTGTAGACCATTAACGCAACTTCACGCATATTAATCAAATAAATCTAACTTTATTCTTGCAATAACGACTATTACATGTTTTCAGTAAAATTATTGTTATCTAAAAATTCATATTTTTTTTTTTTTTATTAGACATGCACTTTTTCGTTTACATTTTACTACCAGGTTTTCACATAAAAACAATCCAATGACATTTATATACATGCAGTTAGAAAGTTCGTAATATTTGTATATTGCGGATAACTACTTAAATTAAAAACTGTAAAATACTATTTGGTATACCGTAAGGTTGAACTGCATACCACATGGAAAAAAGATGGTAAAAAGATAAATCATAATAATATATGTTTCTTAAAAATTGTTTAAATTACACACTTATTGATTTTAATTCCGGTTTTCATGACTATCAGTTGTTAATTATTAATATATATACATAGCGTATCGCGTATATATTTTATATAAGTTTATAACAGTAGCTTATTTATTATTTTTCGTACATGCATTTCGTGATTAGCTGGTTTTAATATTGTTGATAATTTAGTCCATTTTTACTATTTTAGTTTGTACAATTTTACTCGTATAAAAATTATAAGATTATTGATATTTATAATATGTTATAAACTTATAAACCTAAATTGTCAACCCAAAATCCCAGACAATTCTCCCCGTTTAATTACAAGGACTTAAAGATGAAAAAAATTCTATAAGTTATTGTACCTATTTTATTCGAATTAATCAAATATACGACTTTTACATCATTATTTATAACATTTTCTAACGAAGTAAATTAAATGTGTTTATAAGTTACAAGATACATTTTCGTAATTTTAATTAACGTTTAAGTTTTAATAATTTATGTTAATACTGTACTTTGAACATGCACAATTCGTTTAAATTACGTATACGGTGAAAATACCGATACTTAATTTGATCAATCACGACTAATAGGTACATAATAAATGATTTTTAAAATTTTAATTTTATTTATAAAATATTTAAGTTATAGCTGGTAGTGGTTTTTGTTATTGTTTATTTGTGTCGTACGCTGTCTACTGATTACCAACTATTTTAAGAAAATCATCGATTGTAGGTCTATTTTTAATCCATTCTGTATTATGTTAACTGCATAATCATAATACGATATACAGTGTAACACATTCTGAAATTGCTTACGGGCAGCTGTTGTTTTCGAATAGTCTATAATTCCATAGTGGGGGTCACGTATTTAACTAGCGTTTGTAAGCACATTTGATTTTGCTTACGCGAGAAAGAAGGAGCGACCCGTACGGCCGTACGTAGCCCGACGCATTGTACTATTGTAGACTGTAGTCGTTTTTACGTACACTGTCACTGTCATTCGCCTAATAGACTTTTGAAGTATTTATACTTCAATTTCTTTATTTTCTCTATTACATTTTTTTATACGAGAAAGATTATAAATACTTATGTAAAATATAACATGAAAAAAAAACGAAAAAAAATATAATATGTAGGTAGGTACCTAATTATATTTTTAATTTACAGAATATGTCTCATTTAACATTGTGAAATATTAAATAGCAAAGATCGTTGTTAAGACGTGTTATTATTTCCTATGGACTAAAGTGTTTTATTTTTTTTTCACTTATCTATGACAGTATGACCACACTAAAATATTATTATTTTTAGAACTAAACAATTTTTGTCGTTAATCCGTAATATTATATTGTAGCTGAATGCAGGATACCGGGTCATGTTATGTACCATATTATTTAACGGCACTCGACCATGTATACCTAGTCCACAGCCGTTATTCGCGGGCTTTGGTTTCGTACTTGACGCATGAGCACAGCGATAGTTTCTTATATCCACTTTCACAGTAGTATTAACGCACTTTTTTTTCTTCGTATATTATTTTATAAATGACTCGATGAACCGTTGACACGCCGAAAACCTTACGGCGATATAGTCATATTAGGTATATTATATCGTAAGCCTTGTTGAAATACCACATCGAGTAGTATAGGGCTAATACAACCTACATATATTTTATATATCGACGCGGTGCAAGGGGTAATCGAGGTATGTGGTTAAATTCTTCGGTTTATTCATGTACATATACAAAATATGTGGTGATAATAATATATATATATATTCAGTAGATTAAAGTGAAATTAAGTTTTGCCTAGTCACCTATTAGTATCTATATATAGAATGGGTATAGGAATAAATAGGATTAAATCTTGAATTAACCAAGATTGTGATGTCGAATTAGTCCGTGAAAAAAATATTTTCTGTAGGTACCTTCATAATTCAATATTAAAGCTTTTCGCACACTTTAATACAAAATTATTATAAATATTCATATTAAGTATACCATTGCAGGAGTAATTTTTTCGTTTTCCTTATATTTATCTTTGAAAATCATTATTTAAGAAAAACGTTTAAAATAATATACAATAAACGATGGTGAAATAAAGTGATTTATATTTTCGTCGTTTCAGAGAGAATCACGTGGCCCAGCAGCCGACCGTGTTGTTCAAACGTACCAGACACCACAAGGGCTCGATATACTGCATGTCGTGGACGCCCGATGGATCGCTCATCGCTACCGGTAGCAACGACAAGACGGTAAAGCTGATGCGGTTCAACTCGGACACGTCGAATCTGGAGGGCCAGGAGATCGAGTTGGCCATGCACGATGGCACTGTCAGGGACGTTTGTTTCATCGAGGACACGACCAACAGGAGCAGTCTGCTCATCAGCGGCGGTGCAGGTGACTGTAAGATATACGTGACCGACTGCGAGACCGGACAACCGTACCAAGCGCTCAGCGGCCATTCCGGTACTTATTTTATTTTAAATGATTTATTATCAAAATTCCAGTTATCTATGTGTTCCCCCGTGTGCCTCTACATAATACTATTAGGCATATGTCACGCGTGGTGTACTTTGCTACATTTGTCCGTGCCATACACTAGCTGTTATTTCTAAATGTGATTTTGGAACATTTTTTCTATATAGAGAATCTCAATCGGTATATTATAATATTATAATGTTATGTATATTATTTATATATTTTTGGTATTTGGTAATCAGCACGCTATTCATTTCACCTTTTCAAGATAGACGATTTATAACTTATTTGTGTAAGTTAATATATTTCAATTATTGGTACCTATCTATATTAAGTATTCAAACAGTAATTAAGGTAATATTTAAGTTAAGGGGTGGATATTAATACCAAATGTAAAATTCTAAATTTTTTAAAAATTCCCGTGTGCGCTAGCATTCTTTCAATTTGATAGATTTCCTCTGTATTCACATTAGTGTATATAAATATAGAGTAAACCAATAATCAAAGCTGGAAAAGTTAGTCATTTTTTCAACTAGTTGAAGTTAAGTTACTTTAATGAAAAAACTAACTAAGTTAGAATATAAGTTAGTTTCTGAAACTGTCCAAATTTCTAGCTTAGTTAGTTAGAAGTTAGTTGTGGTGAAAATAGTAACTTAAGTTAGAGTAGAAGTTATAACTATAGTTTTTTTTTATAGATTAAAAAAACTTTTTGTTGAAATGTAAATAATAAGTTATCTAACTTAAATTGTTGATTAAATCATTTTTATTTTTACAGGACACATATTGACGTTGTATAATTGGGGCGGAGCCATGTTCGTGAGCGGGAGCCACGACAGGACCATTAGATTTTGGGATTTGCGGACGAGAGGATGCGTAAATGTTGTCACGCCGAATACTTCTATGGCCAGTCGGGTTAGTATTGACGAAGTTCGACTGAATTATTAGTATTTAATTGCATACATTTGAAGTGTTTAAATGGTAGTTTAGAGAAATTTGATCGAATGTGATTTAAAAAACGAGAATTAAATAGTAAACGTGTATAATATTGGATAAAAAATATTAAAAAATGAATGTATTATAAGGTTATAACAAATTGATATGTATTAACAAAAAATATTTAAAATATCAACAGTATTGTCCATATATAAAACCAAAAATCGTTTAAAATTATTATTTCCCTAATTAAAACATAATAATCGAAATAGATTTTGGTAAAAACGGTTGAAAAATTATTTCAAAAACTTTTATTTAGTTTTTGACTAGAATTTTCAGGTTACATATTTTGAAGGATATTACCAAAAAGTTTTAAGAGTTCCTTAAACCCGAGCAGTCTTATTTTATCAGTTTTAAAAAAATATACAAATATCATAAATTCCATACAGTGTATTACTAAATTTATTTATTTACCAATTTATAATGAGTGAATTAAGCAGCCCACTGTGCCCAACCCCTATATACGCCACTGAAGCTTCATAAGAGTATTAAGTATAGACCTGAACTACAGTTTCTCCTCCCCAAATTTCAAACAGTATTTACACCTATGGACAGAACCTTTATATAATATATGTACCTAATATAAAATTTACATCTGATTAGGGCGCAATTTCAATAAAAAATACTGTGGTGCTGAAGGCTTTTATTTTATTCGCTTAGTCTTAAAATCATAAACAAGCATATGATCACATAACATTATATTATAGTTTTGAGGGGATATCGTGTAATGATAATATTATTATCATCGTAAACTGATTCGGTTTTGTATGTATTATATACAGCAAGGATCACCGGTGGCCGCCGTCTGCGTGGAACCGTCCGGGCGACTGTTGGTCAGCGGTCACGAGGACTCGGCGTGCGTCCTGTACGACATCCGAGGTTCCAGGAGCTTGCAGTGTTTCAAGCCGCACTCGGCCGACGTGCGTTCGCTGCGGTTCTCGCCAAGTGCCTATTATCTGCTGACCGGTGGATACGACAACAAGCTGGTGCTCACCGACTTGCAAGGTACTGTATTTTACGTTTGTTGGTAATAATGATAGCCAACAGTAATGTGTTGTAGGTACCAAAGTTGTAGCATTGAGTATAATATAATGTATACTCAATGGTTGTAGATAACATAGGAATGGATAGGATATGCTACAATACCCATGGGACACCTAAAGGGGTGCAATTGGGAAATATTTTTTTTGATAATTTGGACTTCAAATAAATAAAATTTAAAAATTCTTTCTTTTTTAATTTATTTCCTTAGTTATGACCAATATAGAGAAAATTTCACACTTTGGTAGGTACTGACATATAGGTACAATCACAAAAGGACGGAAATGCCATGCGATTGAGATCTTTTACCTATACTGAAGTTGATATCATAATAAATAAGATAATCGTGATAGGTATATACTTTGTATACATATGTGGTACATATTCAAATCGATGACTTATATTGACACCAAAAGTATTTTGTGCCTGTAGTGAGTTAATTTTCCACAGATGTCCACGGACATGTATATATATGTACCTATACAAACTAAGTGCAAGCCTCGAGACTCTATGCTCTGAATGGCGGCCAACTGTGGGGAATCGTCTATCTTATTAGTATAGTGACTATCAGGCACCTTGATAACTCACCTTAGGATATTAAAATCAAATCACAAAAAACAATTATCATGTCCCATTTCTTTGCTATATCAGTATAGGTACTGCGTATTTTGTACTCTCGACCGTATAACATGTGTATAAGTAGTTACAACTTGACTTGCTGTTTTAATTAAATATGAGTTTCGGTATTTAATATTTATTGCTGTTATAATAAAAATAATATCGTTTAAAATGTTCATCCGCAGGTGATTTGACAACAACGTTGCCGAGCGTGGTGGTCGCTCAACACCAGGACAAAGTGATATCTGGCCGGTGGCACCCTACAGACTTTTCGTTTTTGAGTACCAGTGCCGATAAGACAACCACTCTGTGGGCTCTACCACCATATAAATAATACAAATAACCAACGAAACAGATTATAATTTAATAATACACGTTAAAGCTTTGTTTTACAAAAAATCAGAAAGATTTTTAAACAAAAATTAAAAAAGAGAAACAGTGATTTTTGCTAACTTATGTGCTAACAATTTAATAATTAACCTATAGTGTTTATTTTGAAATTTACGAGCTGTTTTTGTTTTTTATTTTTATTTATTATATACACATAATTTGTTCTGTATTTTTTTTGTTACTCTTTTCTAATTCTACCTGCTGTTTTTTGTTAATGATAATTTTTTTTATTTTTTAATAATAAAAATATGTGCCTAAACTCATGTGATACTATTTTAACCCTATATAACTGTATAACCCTATTACTCCCTGATAACCACTTGATGACTATAAAATCCAACGCCTAAAGTATCATTCATTTAAAGAATGATTATCTAAAATGGATACCTAATTTATGTATATATATTAAATACCTATATATTATATAAGTGATATAAGCATCCAATCAATTTAAAGATTTAAATAGTCAGTATAATTTAACGTATAAAAAAATATTTAGCAATATTATATTGTTTTTATACTATTATTATTTATTACATATTATAGGTACTTGTAAAACTATTAGAAACGTATAACAAGATTAAAAAAAAAAACCCATAAATATACTTTTTAAATTTCACATACTCGTTTATATTTCTCTATTATATTATCATCATACTAAACCATTTATTTGAAAGCATATTAATATACAGCTTACAAACGGCTGACGACTTGACGCCCATAAAAACCGGTGAAGTCCTGCTGCAGGTATATAGGTAATTTCGAGTTTAGATACCTCGTCATTGATAGTGTAATGGAAGTGTTAAATTATTATCATTACAGTTATGTAATATATAATATGTAACCTAATTATATAATTTTGTAATCATTTAAATTTTAAAAAGAGAATTTTGAAAACTATTTAGCAGAGATAATAAAGTAATTAAAATATTTTAATTAATAAAGCAATTAAAAAATTATAGATTCTGATATTTCAGACTGCACGGCTAATTAATATTTAAGCAACAGTCTATTAATAACAATATATTACTTCTTATTATATATATTTCTATACCATATTTCCAAAAGAGAATGCAACAGGCGGCCATGGGTTTTCTTATGTAAATCTGGTATCTACTCTTTTGGAACAGGGTATAAGTATCATGTACATAATATTATATATAATAACATATAAATTATATATGATTAATACTTGTTCAATTATAACAATAGACGTTTTTGGACCTATTCTGGAGGCCTACTGACACAATAATGGTGTAGTTCCTATTCAAGTAATTTCAGGAAGTCCTCGGAAGGCAGACATTTGTAATTACAATTAACAGCCTGTGACCGTCCCATTAAAATCCTATGACTCAGAATGGCTCGGCCTAGGAAGTTCCCCCTTGTTCCTGAAGGAATATACTAAATGCGTCCATAGCTTCCTTATGTTGTTAGTAGGTACTATAGTAGCTAACTACCTAACCTAACCTAACCTTTTGGTTTTTGTTTTAACTCTAAAACAAATTAACGTATATACATGAAATTTTCACTGGTCAGTTATATTTTGCATTTTCTAACACGATAACATTTCAAAACATTTTGATTTGTTTTGAACTGCTTAGGAAATTTCCAGTTTCCAATTGTATTAGTCTTTATTTCTATGAATGTCAGTAAAACTTTATTTATTGGGTAAAAAATCTGGAACAATATAATACAAGCTACGTTTGTGATGAAGTCACCCACGTGAAGTTACTTCAATTTCTTTTAACTGTATGCCCTTAGTTTGCAAGTTATTTGCAAGTATTTGCAAGTTTATTTTTAGAATTTGCAAGTCTAAACTTTCACCGTTGAATTCAAAAGTTAAAGGTGGCCCAACTTACGTAGTCCACTCATTTTGACCGAGAACTTCGAAATCGGTATCAAACGAAAGCTAATGATTAACAAGAATTTGCAAGTCTGATTTTAGAATTTGGAAGTCATTCGGGCGGCTTCTATAAACTTTTTAACTTGTGAAGTTGGTCCACCCAAGTTGCCCTAAAAGTTTGAAAATGGTACCAAACGATACCTTTTAATTTGTAAGTCCCAACTTAAAATTTGCAAGTCATTCAGGTGGTCGCTATGAAGTGTCCGCTTACTTTTGAAGTTTTTCATTTTCGGGGTGTTTTGAAATTGGCCCCCCGACTTAACCCAATCTACTACAAACCTATTGTAATATTTGCAACTAAAATTATCTTTATGAAATTTGCAAATTTATACTTTCACAACTATAGACATATTTCATAGCTAGCCCCCGACACAAAAAACTATATTTTTAGGAAAAATTTCTATATTGATTAATAAAAAAAAACTAATTTGGATAAAAAAAAAGTCGTGGAATATCACTAAAATCTATATCTAATAATGAAAATTTAATTTAATTAAAAAATATCAAATCAAATAAAATAATTCTACATAATTTAATAAAAAAAAGTCTATTTTGAATACAAAAATTTAAAAGGAATTAAAAAATAAAATATAGTTATAAAATAACTTGAATTTTTTTTATCTTAAATTAGATTTTTTATTAACTACTTTAATAAGGGCCCTTAATGTGTTGACATGTCACCGGCCAATACAATAATCCTGCCAGATGAGGTTATCGATGAACTTATAGCATCCAAAAGATGGAAACGGGATTTTTGTATTACAACTATTTTTTTTGTTTATCGTATTAGACATGTGATTGGCATTATTATGAATTTATAATAAATGCTATTAGGTACAGTGCAATGCAATTTGTGTCAATTCTTATTTCACCTTGATCCACACTAACCTCAACAAGTTAGGGGATTTTAAAATGTATATTATATACGTATTTATGTGTGTACCTATTATTATATATTTCATCCCCCCTAGCAAAATTCCTAAATTTCCCACTGTATTGTGTGGTATGGGCCTAGTGGAGCAACCAAGGGGTGTGTTTTGGGTGTCTGGTCACCCCTCTTGAACTATAACTTTAGAAATAATAATGTGTTATAACTTATAAAATGAATGCTGAATTTTGAAATTTATTATGTTTAAAATAAACATTTTATTATAACCCACATGGCCACATATTGACATATTATATGTATACTATACAGCACAGAGTAGTAAAGTATATAAACTTAGTTTATAAACAGCTATATATATCCATTGCTGTTCCCACAGTTTAAATTTAAGTTTAAAGCTTTTAAACAACGGCTGGAAACCAACTTAAAAATGGTTACTGTTATTGAAGTAATCAGTAATTGTAATAAAAATCTATATCCGAACGTTTATAAACTACTGACAATTCTTTTAACGTTACCCGTGACATCTTGTGAAGTTGAGAGGTTATTTTCAACTTTAAAAAGAATCAAAACATACCTCAGAAACTCAATAGCAGACAATAATAGACTAAATGGATTAGTAGCATTGAATATTCACCGGGAAATTAAAGTTGATACAGATGACGTCATAAAAGAGTTACCTCAGAGAAAAAGATGTTTAGATTTTGTAATTTGAAATTATTATTATTATTATTTGTAATTAATATAATACTATAATTACTATAATATTATAATATGTATAGTATTTTTGTAAAATGCCTTAACTTTTGACAACTACCAAAATTATATTATGTGATTTTTATCTAAATATATTGGGTGTATATTTTAAATTTTTCAATGAATATTAAAATATAGCAGTCACCTGAATTTTGGGGAACTACGGAATACGTTATTGGTTGACACCTAACCTATCCATAGGTACACGTATGCGTTGGATGAAAAAAAATGTTTCAGTTTCAGTTCTAAGTGTGGGGAACCTCCAAAATGTATTAATATTTTTCTATTTTTGTGTGAAAATCTTAATGCGGTTCACAGAATACATCTACTATCCAAGTTTCAACAGTATAGTTCTTATAGTTTTGGAAAAAAGTGGCTGTGACGTACGGACGGACATGACGAATCTATAAGGTAACCTATACGGAACCCTAAAAGGATCATCTAACGGACTATTAGACCATTAATACCAGGACCGCATATCGTGGTATACCGCCCCGCCCAGACACGCGAACGAGACAGTGGCCCGTGACGACCGCGACGCAGAGAACGGCTCCTTCCGCATGAGACCCTGGTACTACAATCGCGGTTTTCGCTCCGTCAACCGTCGAACCGCGGTCGCTTGACTTCGCGGTCCCTTTGCCGCTCTACCGCCGCCGCGATCGCCTAATGCGGTTCGCTGCCACTGTTCAACTGTGCGCCCTCGTCGATCTCGATTCTCGACCGCCGTCGGGCACTCGGCGCCGTGCCGCCGTAACGACGTGTACGTGAGCCTGTAGGCTTGTAGGCTGTAGCACAGACATATTATATTATATATTTATATAAGTTTACCTACTGTACAGCAAAGCGACATCGACTTACCCACCTTGGTAGTTTTATCTATAGCATGTGTGCCCTTTAAAAAATCACCCCCCCCCCCTTTATATTAGTCTGGATCCACCCCTGGGAATATTACAATAAAAAAAACAGTAAATTATACATTTTTTACAAAAGTTTTAAAAATAAAATCAATTTATATATCTAACAGTTATTCATTAATAATTATGCTATTATTATTTGATTAGTCCTATATATTATATTAAATTGTGTTTGTTCGGTCGAAAAACGTGAAAATGTAAACCACTTGTAACCAAAGCGGTACAGCAGAGTGACATCCCCTTAGTCCTTACCCGCTTTTTGATATTGGCTAGTATGAATTTATTTTGAATATAACCGTGGCTATAAAAACGTAATACAAACAACCGTAACTATATGTACTGGGGTACACAACGGGGATATAAGGTGTTCTATAAACTGAACGTAACCTAACCTAAAAAACCCCTAATTAATAATATTACATTCTGTGTTATAACTTACCTACTTCAATACTTGATACTCAAAAAACTATTAGAAACGTGACGGA